AACATTGCTGTTATGTTGCTGATCCCTCTACATCAAAAAAGTTTGTTGGTTTTGTTAATATTTTGCACGCCAGAGGGGGGGTGGAAGAGGTGTTTAAAAGGTTTACAAAGCATGTGAGAGACTGATGACGTTTCCTTTAGCTGCAAATGTTTGTGTATTTTCATAAGTTTATGTTGGATGCAAAATTGTCCCAAAGATTTTAAATGTTAAACAATTTGTGGGCTTATTGCTGCTCTATTAATGTCCTTAATTTCTCTGGCTGCAAAAGGGTTAATTGCTAATACACATGTTCTACTGTACACTGAGGTAAGGCATAAAAACATGGCAGAGCTGTGCATGCTATCAATTGTGAGCAAATGTTTCAATATTCCCTACTGTGATATACAGCTTTCTGCTAGTCCTCTTTGTTCTGTATCTGTCTGCAAGACTTTAAAATAAGAGAGTTTAAAACTAGCCAGGTAGTTCAGTGTAGTCAGGTGATTTCATTTTTTTTTTTTTTATAGAGTAATTTTGCTCCAAGATTGGTCTACAGTGCAAGTGCAGGGTCTTGCAGTGTTTACAGGTCACCATAGCGACACTACTTGTCCCATACAATGTACGTTAAAGAAGTACAATTTTGAATATGTCCCCATCAGCAGAACTAACTAGTAAGACCACATCCATACATTGATGGGGGAGAACTGTATGCATTGAAGACATATAAACATTTCTTCCAGTATAAAAAAATAATTATATGTAGGTTTGTGTATGTATATGGTTTATACATACTTATATACAGTTTGTGTATGTGTTGTATGTATGTGTGTGTATACATTTATGATTGTGTGTATACACACACGCGCACACACACACATCATAAAAACATGAGATTGTATTGAAGGATACAGTAATATCTCTAAATATGTTTAATATGATGTATTCTTTGTGGGTGTTTTTTTGTTTGTTTGTTTTTTTTTTTTTCATTTCCAATGTTATGTCTAATATGTCTGTAACTGACATTTAAAAACTAAAGAAAAAGTTTGCAGCTTTTTTTGTTTGTTTTTTAATTTTGCTCTCTCCTAGAATGTGTTTGTTATTGAATTGCACCGAAAGTTGCTCTCAAAATGGAAGCTTCTTTAAATCTTAATAAATCGCAGTTGTTTTTTTGACTGTCTTAAGACTTTTTGTATATTTTTATTTTCTTTTTATGAATATGTAGTATTAACTCTGTGAGTAACAACGGTTTTAAGTATTCACTGTGACAAAAGGTAAAGAGAAAACGATTAAATTGCTCAGTGTTAATCTTAAACTTTTTTTAAATTATGCTCTGAAAGCAGCATGCGCAAGAGAGAGAAAATCCACATTTTGGATCAAGATAAAATTGATTTCCATTTTGTAAGGTTTCCCTTTTTGTGCCACAATGGGAAGTGAGAAAGATTCAAATCTGGCTCTTAAGGGTTTTAACTATATACATATGTATGTATACGTGTATATGAAATTACTGTTGTGGATCATCTGCACATCTCAAATTGGATTTTCAAAACTCCTTGGGCAAAGAATCTCCAGAAAATTTTTTTCCCCAAACTATTCCAGAGTTCCCAGCTTGACCTGTAAATGTGCAGACAGCCATTGTGTTCCAGCCTTACTCTGCATTTTTGCAGTTACACTTGGCAATTGGCACAGTTTTTTTATTTTAACCTTTAGGGTCTCCTCAGCATGGCGCTGGTTCTCATCTGGAAGAGCTTATAGCTAGGTGCCAGAATGTTTTTGTGGTTATACCAAACATAATAAAACTCCCTACAATTACGGTCTGCATCATCTACAAAGCGCTTGGTGGATTTTGGTCCACTATCCCAGAGTTTAAAAAAATAAAAATAAACTATGTTTACAAAACCACGTCCATTGCTACTTAGCAGAAGAACACTAATCTATGTCCTTAAATCTCTTTGTAAATATGTAAAATGAAGTGCTTTGTAGACATTTGTGGTGCTCTGTAGTTGATGTACTTAAACTACATTTTTATTTTCATGCTCTTGTGCATCATTTTCCAGTGGCTTAAAGAGACAGCATGTTAAAGGAGCACTATACAGACAGGAATACAAACTTGTATTCCTGTTACTATAGCTGTGAAAATGATATTTATGAAACTGGCCCTCTTGTCAGCTAAGGGAAAGGTGATTTTACTTGCCTTTTTCCAGCACCGCTTGGGTCTCCATGTGGCTATAGCGCAATCAGCATCTCCTCATAGAGATGTATTGAATCAGTGCATCTCCATGAGGAACATTGAGTGTCTCCATGCACATTCAGTTTCGCCACACTGTGCCTCACAGACCCAGGAAACACCTCTAGTGGCCATCTGAGTGACTGCCACTAGAGATGTTCCTAGGCAGTAATGTACACAGTGTTAACATTAAAATGCCTCCAGGGACGCGCTTTAGACACCATAACAACTACATTAACCTGTCATTTTGGTGATTATAGTGTCCCTTTAAGTTCAGCTGTGGGTTGCCCCTTGGTAAACGAGAAGCTGTGGAAATTATTTCATAGTGCCTGTAGGTGCCAAGCCTCAATTCCAATCGTTTCTTATTCACTTTCACTAACTAGTACTTTCACATACAATAAAATACAGCTTTTTATTCATTAAAAAAAGAATGTCTGAGGTTAGCACCAGATTTATACATATGTCTACTCTATCCCAGACTCCCCATGGTACATGGTCATTTGCATTGTTTTCTGGTCATAAATATGTGCAGAAATATGGATCATATGCATAAACCAACCCTTGTACATATGTTTATAGTTATAGAAAAAACAAGTATCTAAATGTATTTGTCTGCTTATAATGTACTTTACAAATCATAGCCATAGGCGTGTGCTGGGCGTGCCTGGGCACACCCTAATCCCTGTGGCACGCCTATGTATATTGAGACCGGCAGGGAAGATCTCAGGATCTCCCCTGTCGGCTCATGCAGAGCCGGCGCTATCCGAGCGCCGGCTCTGCTCTCAGCCCCCCTTCCCACTGACCCACATGCAGGGAGGGAGGCAGGAGAGGACCGGCGGAGCTATTGCCGGCAGCTCCGCCGGGTTCCTCTCGTGAGAGTGAACTCTAGCCCCAAAGGGGCTAGAGTTCACTCTCCACTGGACCGCCAGGGATGGAATCAGCATCACGATCCCCCGTCCCTACAAAAGGTAAGAAGAGAGCATACACAGACATACACAGCACACACACACACACACACACACTACATTAACAGCACACACACAAACAGCATCTTCACAAGCGTGCACACACAAACACCCTCACCCACATAGCACACTAACAGCACCCGCACACACACACAGTGTGTGTGTGTATATATGTGTGTATATATGTGTGTATATATGTGTGTATGTATATATATATATATATATAAATAAGTTATGGTGGGGAAAAATTGTGATTGAAAACCCCTTCCACCTGAAGTATGTGGATAGTTAATACAATGCTAAACAAAAATCTGCACACCAGTCAAGCCATAAGACTTGCTTTTCCCACAAATTCCAAATCAGCAGTGATGTTACAACCGCAAAGGATTCTGGGTGGGCATATGCAAATTAGTTTAACAAAGAATCACATTTTTGCCTCATTCCATTTTAAACATGGATTCCTTTTAATTTGTGTTTGCAGTATACAACCGCTTGGAACACAATTTAGGATAAGATGCAAAACCAGTGAACCACTCATGGACAGCTGTTTCGTTGTTAATGCAACTCTTCAGCATGAGGTTGGTTACTGGTTTGCTTAGTGAGGCTTGGTAGTGCTTGGGAAGCAAAATCCAAATAGGTTATGGTGGGGAAAAATTGTGATTGAAAACCCCTTCCACCTGATGATTTCCACCTGATTTTCACCTGACCCCTTCCACCTGGGATTTCTGTGGGAAAAGCAAGTCTTATGGCTTGACTGGTGTGCAGATTTTTGTTTAGCATTGTATTAACTATCCACATACTTCAGGTGGAAGGGGTTTTCAATCACAATTTTTCCCCACCATAACTTATTTAGATTTTGCTTCCCAAGCACTACCAAGCCTCAATTAGCAAACCAGTAACCAACCTCATGCTGAAGAGTTGCATTAACAACGAAACAGCTGTCCATGAGTGGTTCACTGGTTTTGCATCTTATCCTAAATTGTGTTCCAAGCAGTTGTATACCGCAAACACAAATTAAAAGGAATCCATGTTTAAAATGGAATGAGGCAAAAATGTGATTCTTTGTTAAACTAATTTGCATATGCCCACCCAGAATCCTTTGCGGTTGTAACATCACTGCTGATTTGGAATTTCTGTGGGAAAAGCAGGTCTTATGGCTTGACTGGTGTGCAGATTTTTGTTTAGCATTGTATTAACTATATATATATATATATATATATATATATATATATATATATATATATATATATATATATATATATATATATATATATATATATATATATATATATATATATATATATATATATATATATATATGCGGCTTGTGCTTTAGAGTGCACACCCTAATGCTATAGGCTGCGCACGCCTATGATCATAGCACGTTGCCAGTCAACACTGATTAACATTTAGGCAGTTTCCCCCCCCCATTTTGCTCATCTTTCAGCCAGCAGATGGCAGTATATACACATCGATATTCTGCCAAGTGATCCAATCTATGACTAAAACTATTTGTGCCAAACAGCGTTTTGAAGCATTGGTTCTGACTGGCAACATATCCTTTATATCTACTTGTACCAACTTTATAATATTATTGCAAAGCTAGGTTGAGCAGAAAATGGCTTAATGGGCTGATGAAGACCACAAATACTGTATTTTTACTGAAAGTGTTAGAGCTCTAACGCTTCTAACACCAAATAGTTTTAGGGTTGTGTTTTTTACCCACCTTTAACCAAAGTTCTTGTTTTACTGTTAACGGGGATTAGCTTTTGCATAATTATTTGGATAGTAAGTAACCCCAGAGGCCAAACTGTAATAAATGTACACTACAATAATTGTTAAATTTCAAGTCATGAACTAATTTAATTTTCAACAAGTAAATACATTTTTATTTTCTTATGCAAACAATATATCTCGGTTTTTATGCTACCCAACAGTTGTTTGTCCATATTAAAGAATAAAAACATCTTAGAGACAACAGTTTTACAATGAGTTTATCCTCAAGTGTAAGCAATCTAGCTTTAGTGTATTACGGCTAAACATCTGGTTAATTCATAGACATTACAAGTGAATGCAACAGAAGGTTGGGGTAAGGTAAAATGACTGCTCATCACCATTTGCAATACTGAAATTTAAAAAAAAAATAAAAAAAAATCCATCTGGTTACCTGATCTCATAGAATTTTATGATTTTGATTTAATTAGTAGTTGACAATTTGCATAATCTGTTTTTGTTGTAATCTACCATGGACTATTTTCCAAAAAGCACAAAACTGCTGCCACATTTCTGGTGAGATCAGAACACATTTTCTTAGACTATTTTGCTATCCATCTAAATAGCACAGGTTATACAGTCATTTTTGATCTTCAGTCAATAAATGGGTAGATGTGCAAGTTAGGTTTGTTATCTACATATTGTAAATCAGACAGGAGGTCAACCATTTTTGTTTTTTTTCTTCTCATAAATCTAAGGGTTTCAATAGCTGCCCTTATTCCTTCAATGCAACAACTGTTTTGCGTTAAAACATAAAATCCATAACTATTAGATTCTTGCTGGCCATAGTGGAAACGATTGTTCTCTGTAGTTTAGAGTGTTGAATGTTTGCTTCCACTCTCCTTCCTTATGTCCCATTTTTAGTCCTTGCATACACACAGCTGGAATTTGAAGGTCTGCTATCAACACATGCTACAACTGTTAGTTTTGTTCATGGGAGGTTTGCGATTACCCTCATTAGGAATGGTTTCCCTCCTTCTCCTTAAAGCTGGACTCAGTCGATAAGGTAAGTTGACTTCTGTCAGCAGTGCCCTGAATACTTCTGTCACATTGAGATTTTCCTTGGCAGATGTCTCCAATAAACAGCTGTTCCACTCCAGTTCCACGGTTGACATGGCTTCCTTCCAAAGCACTTTTTGGGTAACCGCCTCATCTTTTTTGTTCCCTACTACAACAATCGGGGGACTTTTTTCTTCCTTGACCTCTAAAATCTCCTCCCGTAATCTACGTACCCTCTCAAAGCTGTCTGGGTCGTCAACCGAATAAACAAGCGCAAAGGCATCTCCGCTCTGCATGCTCAATTTTCTCATTGCGGGAAACTCGTAACTCCCACTGGTATCCAAGATTTCAATTTTAACTTCTGTGCCACCTGCAGTTTCATACTCTGTGCTGTGCAACTCTTCCACAGTGTGCCTATGCTTCACGTCAAACGTGTCCTGGAGAAAACGGCAAATCAAGGATGTCTTCCCAACTCCTGCCGCTCCCAAGAACACAAGCCTTGCACTTGTCTTCTCTTTGACAGACAGGGACATATCTCTTGTGGTTGGTATGCCCTTATATTTCTTTTTTTTTTTCCCCTCTCCTTCTTTCCAAAGTGCGCTCTTTTGTTGCAAAAAAATCAATGTAATATTCTCAGACTTAGAATAGCATGTAAAGCTCAGTTCTGCCTCTGCTCCCTATTTATTCATATTCTCCTGAGTGAGGTAGGACTGCTTTCATCGAATCCAAAGCTGCTGCCTTAAGCTGTAGGGGAGGGGAGCTATCACCCTGCTCTCACTTGCTCTTGTCTGTATGTGGATAGTGTTAACCCTCTAAGTGCTGACAGTACATCAGCAATATAGGATTTATATATATTTTCAAAAGAACAGAACTGGCTTCTTTTTTTTTTTCACAGTATTGATTTTGCTATATATCACACTTCATATTTATTTAATATTAAATTCCAACTCCTCATTAGTAGCCTTAATATGCACCTGGAAAATTTGAGTGTTAATAACGGGATGTTGCTTAGTGCTTATCAAACCATTTTCTAGTTATTGATGAGTAGTAACATCTATCCTGTGACACATTTTGATTTCCATTACTTGAACCATCACTTTTTAGTGCCTGATAACTGGCCAATATTTGTGAACAAGATTATTTAAAGGGTTACTCCAAGCACTATGAACACCTACAGATTTGAAGTGATCATGGTGCTGTGAGTCTGTACGGGCAGCGTTTTGCTATGATACACTGCACACACAAATTTCAACACCATTGTTGCTGGATGTGTAAATAATAAGGTTATGCGTGTCCCTTTAAAAGATAATATACATTGTTATTTAATGCTCAGAAATAGTTTGTTTTTTGTTTGAAAATTCAGACCACTTGGTGCCTGTAATGCAGCTCTAGGTGAAGCAAAGCTGTAGAACATACATTCCTATTAAACTGTGACAATGCAAACCTTGTTTGTTATATAAGCACAAACAAAATGTTAACAAAAAGACTATTCTATAACTGTTGCTTCCTAAGGTCCTCCAGTAGTCCTTTCATGCTTTACTGAGCTTTTCGTACCAGAAAGGAATTAAGGAAGAAAGGGCAAGGGTCAGATGGGGTTTGCATCTTGATTTAAAAGTTTAGGTACCGAGTTGACAGTTTTGCCTAAATGAAAGTGTCCAGCTTTTATAGCTATTTTTCTAGAATTACAACAGAGTACATCCTGCTTTTCATCTCTGGATGCACATACATGTGAGCAGCAGATTTAAAAAAAAAAATTTCTCCAATATTTGCTCATGCTCCTAAAATGCATATTTATTCCCCTCTAGTTAGGGTCTTCAACGATGGTCAGCAATATTTCCTGTAGGACAGCACCACCAAAAGTAAACCCTTGTGGGAGTGCGAACTGTTGGGAGACTAAAAATGCTGGTCGGTACTCCCCAGTTCTTCCAGTGGGGTCCAGAGCTGGCCAGAATCACTTGGAGGAAAAAGAGAAACTCTGCAGAATTCATTTTGCGTCTAGGAAAATGCTGCTATATTTTGAAGGTATGGCACCATGCTTCGATCATCTCCCAAAACAAAGTGTTGGAGGCAGAGTATGATATTAAAGATGGTGCCTCGGCATCTAACCAGCGCTGTGGCACAGATGTTATAGCTTAGGATTTTGCTTTGGTTGATTATGGAAGCCATATTGGAGCATTAGGTTGGTTGTTTTGTTTTTTTGTAGGGTTCCAATGGGTGGACTAACAGACAAGTACTTGTATCCAGACAAGTTGGACACACAGGACCAGGGGTGTTTGAGGACCTTCTCCAGACAAGGTGACATTCTAGAGGCAGTGGCTATAGTGACACAAAAGGTAAGAATATAGTAGAAATGTAAGTTACTAGAATAGTTTTCAATGAGGGCTTAGTTGTTTTTTTGTGTTGTGCACAAGTTAACAAATTGTTTCAGTTCGCCACAACAGCGGTTTCAAAATTAATTCAACATGTATAACAAGGAGTAGCAGTTAGTATACAGGCACATTTTTATATTGAGGTAAGATAGATTTATGTCATAATAGTGGTTAGAGAACCAGTAGGCTGGTTTAAATTAACTGACATGTTGGCGTGCTTAGTTAAGACGTGGAGTTGCATGTGTGGTTTGGGACTTGCATAGGAATTATACAGGCAGCGAACCATATTTTACATATTTGCTAGGCAAGGGTAGGCTACTGTACCTCTGGCGTCTACATTGCTCTGCCCGGGCTAACGAAGGCATGTTGCGTTTGGTAGAGTGAGCAAGAGCGATTGCATACATAAACAGGTGAAGCAGGTATTGAGGTACGTAACCCCATGCATATACAGGTGGTGTCAGCTATGGGTATAAAATTTAGATTGTAACATCTCAATTGTCAAATAGGTGGTGCGAACGAGGTAGCAGTTCATTGAGGCGGGGGGAGGGAGAGTAAACTGGTGTTTGTGACGGTCGGTCAAATGGCCTAGGGGAGTTATCTAAAAGAAAATGTAACAATCATTTAAAGTTGTAGGATAACACAAGAGAAAACAAAATTTAAGCTTGTAAGGTAAGGCAGTGTGTTGGTCTGCTCTCAGGTCAGGTGGAAATGAACAACCAGGTCCTCGGGACAGCGGCCAGTGCTTTAGCTGGTTTGGGGATGTGGAAGAGACCATCCAGAGCTACTGCCTCAGCCTGCCTCGGTGGTAGCAATGCTACCAGAAGTCTTCTCATGAGGTGTGGTAATTCTGCTTCTGGAACGTCCTCTGAGATCCCTCTGATTTTTAAGTTGTTCCGGTGTCAGATATCATCTTGTGCCGCAAAGCGGCATTCATATGTTGTTCCCAGACAGCTTGTTGAAGTGTTTCCATGTGCTGTGTGCCTTTGTGTGAGGTTTCTTCCAGCACGCCGATGCGGCCTGTCAGGCCCTCTAGGCCTCTGTGGATCCTTGCCATGTCTGCTTGGAGGGTGTGTTTGAAGTCTGCCAGGAGCTCTTTCAGTACAGCGATGGTAACTGGCGCGCAGTCTGATGCCGGTGGATTCTGTTTTGGCTTTGTAATAGCCGGTAAGTATTCCTCCTCACTCTCTATGGACAGCTCGTCAGAGGTCTGAGCAACCTCCTGAGAGGGCAGCCATTTTGGGTCCGCTCACACCCTGGGCCTGCCTCCATAGTTCTCCGATATTCATCCCTATGTGTGGTCTGTCGGACTTGGGCCTATTAGTTTTGTGCCCCATGTCTTCTGGGCTAACTGGTGATATCTCCCAAGTTCAGCTAGTCGGGGGAACAGCTTCAATAATCGGGTTTTCAGTTGCATGAAGCCCAAAGCTTCAGGAATATGCGACCGTCTGCTTCAGTCCTGCCCACCCCAAGAAGTGGGGTTTTTAATGATTATTTTTGAAGGAATGGAAACTGGGGGAGAGTCTGAGAAGGGAAAGGAGTTCCACAGGAAAGGTGCAGCCCTAGAGAAGTCTTGAAGGCGAGCAACAGAGGTGGGAGTACAGAGGATAGAAGCAGAGCATAGGGGCCTAAATGGGACAAACTTGCTTATTAGGTTGGATAGGTAGAAGCAGCATTATGTAGAGCTTTGTAAGAAAGTACCACGATTTTAAATTGAGCCCTCTATCCTTTGGGAAGGTAATGTATGAACTGACAGAGGGGGCAGGTGTGGGCAGACCGAAATTGAGCCTTGCCAAACTTAAAACCACTGCGAAGTAGACAAGACAAGAGTTAATCGTGTAATGGACCAGCACCTTTGCTACGTATGGTGTTAAATAGGGCAGTTGCAATCTATATTTTTTCAGATGAAGGATTTTAGGATCGACTGGATGTGAGGAGTGAAGGAGAGGTTGGAGTCAGCGAACACCTAAGCTTCTCTAGTGGCTATCGTGCCTGAAGTGCCATAAAGCCCCCCATTGTAAGTAGTCAAACCATTCTAAGTGACACAAGTATCCAGGCCAGAAGGAAGGATGCAACAATCCGTTATATAGAATGACACAGGTTTGGATACTATGCATATTGCTCACAGAACAGATGCAATTTCTTGCCAGTGCGTGCTTGAGAGAAGGATATGGTAATGAAGAGTGCAATAATGAAGCATGTGAATCTGCACAATAAACAGTTAAGGCATTTCTGGCACTTGAACTAGAACAGAGACTAATTCTCTGAGAGTTGGAGTTGTGGTGAGGTTTGACACATTCTGTCCCACTCTGAGGCAGGTCTTTCAAAACATCTCCAAATACGCAGCAAAAATAGTGCAGAAGATTTCACACATTATTCCTGTCATGACAGGTAAGGATCCTAACAAAGGCAATGGCTAAATGGCTGAGAAAACAGGATAAACAAACTAGCCATGGTGAAAGCACATTGGGTCAGCATGCACAACAGGGCACCTAGCTGGAGGCAGAATGGGTTTAAAAGGTAAATGCATATGGAGTTGCATCATTCCTGTTCACCAAAAGATACGATTGTTGTGCAGGCTTCACATCAGAATGACGACACCAACACTAAGAATGTATATGATGTAGGGAAGACTCAACTCTTCTAGAACACTTGGAGCCATGTCAATGATGCCAGATTGATGTGAACCCAAATTAGTATTTGTGCTGGTATAGCATGCTACTTCAAAATTGAAGGGAGATGGCACTTGCATACACAATGGTTACTTTAAGTATACCCCGTCTAGCTTATTTTCAGGGGATGCTAGTCGTTTAAGCCCTACCCTGAAAATGAGCCCTAGTCACCAGTTCACTAATCTAGGTTTGGGGAATTTTCCCCAACATAGATTTGCAGGGTTCCATGCCCTAGACAACTGGTCTGTTTGGGGGAATTTCAAATTGTAGAGAGAATTCCTCATTCAAGCTTGACACATTTCATCCTGTCAGACTTTTTCAAGAGCTGCTGGAGACCTTCTGGTTCCCTACTTATTTTTAGTCTTCATGATCCCAATTGATTGCCCTAACCTGATGCACAAGTTATGTCACCATGCTCTACGTTAAGTAGAGTGTGATGGTGAAACCATTGCCAACCTTACATATTTCCAAAACTTTACTAACACAGACAGGGACTGCCATATAAATTCAGATTTCTGTTCTATAAGAAGTAAACAAACTAAAAAAATTATAAAATGATATATTCTGTCACACATGGTGTGTGTGACAGAAGCTCCCATACCTTGGCCTTTTGGAGAGGCTTGAAGGCCCTCTCGCCCAAAGACCATGGACCTGGTCCC